TGCAATGACTTCTGATTCGCTGCATCTCTTTCCTGGCGAAGAATCAAGGTTTCTCTCCTGACCCAGGGTTGTTGTGTCTTTCTCCAAGCCAATAGCCTTGGCAATGGCATCGACGATGAGTGTTTGGGAATCGCGGATCTGGCCGTCAATTCAAACAGACATTATTTTGTTTGATATTCGACAGTTTCATCTATATCGCATGACTTGCCGCTCAGAATGCAAATTTTATTTCGATGTCTGATTTTTTGTTGAGAATGGGAACATTAATATAGGATTCACTTCAGGAATACACTTGGATTTGTGTTAAGCTTTTTCAAATTTGTAGAGACCAGGGAAATTGCCTTCTAGCTTTGTCTTGTCTGCTTTATGTCTGTTTGACGTCATGCCTGTCAGAGTTTCGGAAAGTTGATGTCTTCATCCTAATATATAACATCTCTCTATCACCATGCCTACCTGGCGAATCGTTGTGATCTGGTATTTTTATAGCCATTCAGTCAATGCATAATCTCCATGATCTTCGAGTATGCCTTGGTTCCGAGAAAAGATTTCCCAACTTATTTGCAGCTCTGCCTTTGCTGACAAAGGTATGACTCGATTGGACCAAATGATCTTCTTCAATCAGTCAACACATCTATCTTAGCCATCTTCTAATAATCCATACTACGCAGGAAACGATTTGCAGGTTTTAAAAGTCTTTGTTTAGCAGGGCGTTTTAATACCCGGATTTATGAATTATGCTATAGAGAATGCAAATAAATTTTGTTAAGCACCATTCATGACTAAGGCCAAAATTTTGTATCTGCTTGTCAGATCAGATGTGGCGGTAATTCATATAGATTATGCATAATATGTTTCACTAGCGTGTTAATTTATATTAAAATTTTGACGTATGTATTAGATGGTAAATGACGGCATCGTTCCTTTCACGTTTGCTCATTAATTTTTTCTTCGCTTCAACCGGGGGCCGATGCTCGAGTCAGCTGCCTCCATCGCTGTCTCATATGCTCCCCTACAACATCGAGCCACCTTTTGGCCTTCTCCTTCTTTTCTTCCCCGGCAGTATCAGTGCTCGGATTGCATTTCTATCGCACTCCTCAGATTTTCTTTTCATATGGCCAAATGAAGACTACTTTTGACCAGCTTTCCTACGATTTATGCTACACTTAAAGTGCCTGCTCTGAAGATATTCCAGACATAGTTCTTTTTGTCCCCGCACCACGGATCCGGGCTCAACTGTTGATCTTGTCTTTCATGGTAGCCAAGCCTTTCGCTGCGTACAGAAGTTTGGGTGTCATTATCATTTTACCTAATTCCCCCTACTACGATTGGTATTTTCATATCGTACAGTACACGCTGAATTGTCTCTACTTCAGTCACGCTTATTTTGATCAGTTTCTTAATTTACTGTCGGTTTTCCCATTGTCCTGAAGTATGGGACCAAGATAATTCCTGGGTATGAGGAACCAAGAATTCTTGGGTTTGAGCCAGCACACTCCGCTATTTTCACCGATTGATTGGACTTCCTTCTGTTTCTCTAACAGAAAGAAACCGCCATGGAGTTTGACTTGCCTTTGCAGCGTTGAAAGCATTTTTAACGACTCTTTTTCATCACACCTCGGTTTTGCTTCTACTACTTTCCTGCATTCACTGCTCACCATTATCATCTGTATAGAAATGCTTTTCGCAGACCTTCAGTTCGTATCCATTAAGTCTGCTTAAAATTATGCCATAAATGAGTTTATTAGTGTCGCATATACCACTGTAATATATTGTTACGTATATTATTTAAGTAGTGCATTTAATGTTGATGAATTTAAGCATATACGTGCTTCCGACACTGCCTTTTTTAGCTGTATGCGGCCGGCTACTGGGACGAGATGACTTTAACATTTGTATTCCAGCGTCGCTACGGATGGTACATCTTCCAGGGATATATTCCGACGTATCTCATCATTGCCATCTCGTGGCTTTCCTTCCACATAGGTACACTGTCTCTGCCTTCTCGAACCATGCTAGGCGTTAATTCTCTGATGGCTATGACTTTCCAATTTGGAAACATCATCAACCACCTGCCGCGAGTGTCTCACATTAAAGCGATTGACGTATGGATGCTGAGGTGAGTGCAGTGAGCATGACTATTTAGCAACCTCTGTCGATCAAGAGATCGATTCAAAATTCAAAAGTATGCCCATGATAATTGATTATAAGAACGTATCATACGAACGCTGTTGTATGCGCTGTATACTGAAAATGTTTTAGCCATATAATGATATAATTAATCGATGAAACTTTCCGTTAATAATAAAGCGGAGTAATCGGAGTAGCCACTGAATAATTAATTTGAAAAAGTGCAAATCGTTAATGCAGTAATGGGGAAATCTTTACAGTATGCTTCTCAGATTTCTTATGCGAACATCATGCACGCTGACATGAAACTTTCCTTTTTTGGGTTTTGTTCGAGAGAAAGGGGCATCGACGTCTTATGCCAATTTGCATATCTCAGATTAAAAGAAATGCTTAGCTTCAAATCGCTGGACTTCAAGACATCAGTGAAGCAGACAGTGACTCTAGCGCCGGCTTATCGACTTGTGGATTCGACTTTTTGTAACTCCGACTTGGCTTCGTAGCACTTTCTATTTACTAGCGTGAATTTCGAAAATTGCTTAGAGTACCTGAACATCATTTTTATACTGAAGCAAAATTAGACTTCGTTTCAAGGTACTTAACCAGTGCCCTGCCTTCGTCTGCTATGAAAGGGCACTCGACTCGGTCGAGCTCAGTGCGATATAAAAGGCACATTTAGATTTCATAGCAGGGCATCCAACATCAACCTGCTGAAGAAAGTGCAATCTGGATACACGACTAGCATCACGCTGCTCGATACACCCTCCGGATTCACGTCAAGAAACGTGTTGAGTAAGGGAAGACAATTTCTTTAAAGGTTTTTATAACCTGTCTAAAAAGAGTTCGGTTTATTCGAGCGGATAGGCTAGAAAGGAGGATTAAAGTTGAGCGGAGGGTAGATCAGTCATTGCGGATTTGCTGATTCAGAAAATATTCAGTTGATCATGACATGAGATGAAAGAATCAAAAACGACCACCACGTTTTGATTATGGCGCAAGATTATCATAAAACAGATGGTGCCCCCTAAAGAACAAATCATGCCTCCAGCAACATTTCAATTAAGTATTGTTGCTTGAACTAGCAAGACTGCGACTGCTCATTTCTGGTTCATAAATGATAAATATTTCAGAGCATTAAAGTTCGAAGATGATGAATGAACAACATAATAAAATTTTATTTGAATCGTTTTTAAAAACGAACTTTTCTATTTACTTTTTATTGTCATATTTGTCGCAGGCGGTATAACAGAACTATGGGCTGCTTGAGACTACGCGATGCTTAAAAGCAGCCAATACATTTATAACTATTTTATTCAGATGTGCTTACTGTATTGTGAAAATTTCTCATCGACATCAGTCTCTATTAATATATCTAAACCATTCGGGCCATACATATTGCTAACGAACGGAATTCGCCCCGTTGGTTTTACTTCGGATATCCCGGTTTTGTGTCAAAACTTGAGTCAGTTGAGACTCCTCCACTCGAATGAGGAATGAAGGAACTCCAATCAGTTTTTAGAACAGTTTCTTACAGTGAGCAAGAGAGGGAAAGCAACAATGCTAAACATAATATATTCTCTCCACTGAGATATATGCTTAACAAATATATATTATCTAGCATTACGCCAACGAGAAGCCAGCTGGAAACGCCCTGGCGCTAGCGAACTGAGCGTTGCACAGACTTAGGAGAAGGTGAGAGACCATCAGTGGCGTAAAGTATACCACTGAGGTAATTTCATGGTTGATTAGTTGAATGATAACGTGGAAAATAGTACCGGAACGCAAATCACACAGTTATTACCTCATCGCTAGACCAACACCAGGCCTGAAATTACTGCTGCAACGGCACAAATATTAACTATGTTTCCATTTTTCCCGGCATGTATTCTTTTTGATGGAGAGAGAGCAGATTACGACAAGATAAAAAGAAGGAAAGGGAGGATGAGAAGAATTAAAAGAAAATGACTAAAGTGAAAAAGATGGAGAAAGAGTGGAAAAATTGATTCCTAATAAAAAACAGAGTAAAGAAGGAGTAAGATGAAAATGGGAATCAGAAGGAGAAAGAGAGAAAGAGGAAAAAGAGCAGAAAAAGGATGAGGAGAAATGAGAAGCGGGAGAAATAAACGGATGAAGTATTACAAAAGATTTTTCTTTCAGTTATTGTTTCTCCCATCATTTCTTAATTGCGTACCAACGACCTGTCTTCTCAACCATAGTCAACCGAACATCGCTTGCTCATGAGATGATAATTAAATAGCGGCAACTCGTGGCAAGGACGATATTCAATTATTATTTTTTTCTGTTTAAAACTTTTATGCTTGATAATATATTGCGAAATTAAACATAGCAATTACTGCGATTCTAGCAAACTTTATACGGAAAGCCAAAAATAGGTTGCATGAATAGTACCCTTGTCTTTATGTATACGGCATTAAACGAATATTCTGTTTAAACAAAAAATATGATTTTACGCGCGGGATAAATTAATAAGCACATAGTGAATCTTCGTTAAGGACAAGAATGAGAAATACTCCTCGCGGAGGTGATAGAAAAGCACATTATTGATCTGTATGGCGTTTAATAATGTTCATTTTCATGGCATAAGCTTTTTTGTAAGGGATTGATTTCGCGATTTCTTCCATTGAACCGTTGTTGAATAATTCACTTGATGATGAATTAATTTTTTATTACAACAGTAGTGGGAAAATGAGGAAACTGAATAATTGACAATCGTATAAAAGTTGTATAATGAATTAACATCAGTACAGCAAGAGTGTCAGTCAGAAGCGAATACCTAAACAGTAAATATTGATGTAAACAGCAGCAGCGTAAATGATAGTAGACACGCAATCAGATAAACTAAATGTTATTCAATGCACAGTCGGCTAAGTCAACCCGCGCCAGTGACATCATGTCCCATTTCATACCCAATTCAATCCTTAAGTCCTTTTGTTCAGAAAAAAACGTACTTAGCGTTATTTTATGTTTAGATATAAATATAGACAATGTTACAAACCTGTAGGATGATGCCACTGTGAAAGGCGTAATTCTCTCTACACTTCACTGTATATTTGTCTATGAGCGCTTTGGAACAATTCCCGTTGCAGGCGGCAGATTTTTACTTGTT